CCCTCCGTCGGGGAACACGTTGGTCAGACTTCGGGCGTCCCGTGCAGCCAAGGCGCGCCTAACCGCAGACCTGGCCGACTTCCACCAGTCAGACGTGGGTAAAAACCTCCAGGCTGACACTGTGATTGACACGGTGAAGATTCTTCAACTTAAGTTCAGTGAGGACCAACCAGAAGTGGAGTGGAACCCCTTCGTGCTCATCCAGTACATCCTAAACTTCATGGATAGCGACGCCAAAGCCAGCGACTTAGAGCCGATCGTGGGACTGGAGGTTCCATCTCCAGAGGAAGACGAGGCGCCTGATGGGGAGCCTGAGGTAACGCCAAAAGACGAGGCGCTCGATGGAGAACCACTGGGAATGCCCGAAGGCGAGGTTCGCAGTGAAGAGTAGGAGGACGATCAGTGACCCAGTGTCCTTTCATTTGTCGTTTCTTTACCTTCGTGCGCTTTATGTTTCATGCGTTGTCTTTGCTTGTTTTACTGTTAGAGTTGGTCCCCCGGTGCCATATAAATTTCTAAGTGTTGCATTTATTTTGAGTTAAGTATTCCAATCCATTTTCCCCCCACTACTTTCCATTCCACGCACCTACCCTACTGGTCACACTACTCATATTACGGGCACACCGTTTCTAGGGCGCTTTAGTGAATCCGTGTGCGGCGGGCGCAAAAGAACAGGGCGCTTTACGTGGGCCATCTGTCGGGTGCAAGGTATTGTAGGCGCTTTACGTGATCAGTAACTGGGCGCGAGATTTAGGGCGCATTACTTTTCCACTTGCCCACTTCAAATAATCACAAAGGAAAAGAGCAATGCACTTCTGTCTGACATAATATTTTTTTTTGTGGAGCAAATGACTTGTTTGCCCAAATGACACGTGAGGGAGGTAGATACGAAGGCGCTTTACAACTGCTAACGAAATAGGATATATAAGGGCATATAGTTTAAAGGCGCTTGCTGTAATAATACTTCCGCCTACATGCTTAGAAAACCACCAACATAAGAGAGCTAGACACTTCTCTCGGAAAGCACTAACTAAAATGGATGCGCCCTAGCACATCTAACTAGCCTCCTACTCTGAGGCTTCCATCACCCCATTGCCATTATATAGTTTGAGGTTCTGAGCGTTCCATGTGCGCTTGATATGCTTGCCTCCGACACGTTCCAACTTGAAAATGGCTGGTCCCACCACCTCCCGAACACGATTAGGTCCTTTCCACTTCGCTGCGAGCTTTCCCTCACTTGCCTTTGGGAGAAAGTCTCGCTGTAACACCATGCTTGCTTGTCGTATTTTGTGGGCATGCATCTTGCGGTTGTAATACCTGGCCACTTTCCTCTTCATCGATTCAAGGTGCACCGAAGCGATGTCTCTGTGCTCCTCCAACATGTCGAGGTCGTGCATCCGTTCTCCCTCGTTGGGCTGCGCCTCATAACTCACAACCCTAAAGGTGGGGATGTTTAGCTCAACTGGGATGACATCCTTGATGCCATAGGTGAGGGCAAACAGTGTTTCTCTTGTCGCCACCTTGTATGTCGTCCGATGTGCCCACAACACGTCGGGGAGTTTTTCAAACCACTTTCCCTTGGCGCCTAGCAAACTTGTTTGAAGGCCATGCAAGATACTTTTGTTTTCCGCCTCCGCATGCCCGTTGGCTTGGGGGTATGCCACGGACGAGAAGTGTAGGATGACTCCTTTCTCAAAGCAGAAATCTATGAAGTTCTTGCCATCGAACTGCTTGCGATCGAACTGCTTGCCATGATCGGCTACAGTAAACCCTGGCAGCCTGAAACGGGTGAAGATATTTCTGTTTGTAAACTTCCTCACTTGAGCTTGGGTGATGGTTGCTAAGGGCTCAACTTCATCTGACCAGGCGCCTTAGGGAATGGTCCCAACAAATCCATCCCCCACTGCGCGAAGGGCCATGCGCCCACGTTGCCTTGCATGGGTGCTGCAGGAACGTGAACATCGTGGGAATAAATTTGACATTGATGTAAATTTTCGACGTGCCTCTTCGAGTCCGCGCGGATGGTGGGCCAATAATAACCCTAACGTAGCAAAACCTTCTCCAAGCTTCTTGCGCCGGCATGCATGCTGCATGCGCCCTGTTATACCTCCTTAATTGCTTCTTTACTCTCATCCGTTGTGATGCATCTCAGGAAAGCGCCTGAATGTGATCGTTTGTATAGCTGGCCGCCAATGATTGTGCAGCGGGCGGCCTTACGCCTCACTTGCCATGCCTGTTTGGCATCTTTGGGTACTGTACCATGCATCAGATACGCCATGATCGGGGTCTTCCAGATCTCGGCTTCTGTAACATCTTCAACAATTGCCCCTACCATCAACTCTTCCGGAGAGTGCTCCTTGGTAACGATAACGTGCCTTTCGCCCTCGAAGTTTGTAGCTGTGGCGAGCTTCGAAAATGGAGAAACTCCACTTTTTTGAACCATGTGCCTTTGGCCTTAACTGTCTTCATGTATGCGCTCAGGGCATCTTCTTTCACCTCGTATACGCCATTCATTTGGTTGATGACTAAGGCGGAGTCTGATCGGATCTGAACCTTATGCGCCCCAGCTCGCGTGCCGCATGCAATCCCGCAATGACGACCTCATATTCTACCGCATTGTTCGTTTTTAGTGATGAGAAGCATAGGGCCAACTCATGCATCCCACCCGTGGGTTGATAACCACGACACCCGATCTGGCACCAATCCTGCTTGCCGCCCCATCTACATACACCGGCTAGTCTTTGTCCACCATTCCATCGTCACCTGCAACTCATTCCGCCGTAAAGTCGGCCAAAACTGGCGCCTTAATTGTCGGTCGGGCGCATACATGATATCATACTCACTCAGTTGTACCTCCCATTTCATAATGCACCCTGTAACATCCATGGATCCCAACGTGCTTTTTAATGGCAAGTTAGTGAGTACTACCACATGATGCGCCTGGAAATACGGGCGTAACTTTTCGGAAGCCGCAACAACCACTAAAGTTGCCTTTTCAATGGGAGCATACTATGGCTCCGGGCTCGACATCACCTTGCTTATGTAGTAAACGGACGTTCTTCTTTGGCATCCTTTTCCTTTGATATGAGCATCGCGCTAATTGCCGCACGCGAGACAGCGATGTAGAGGTACAAGGTCTCGCCCTTTTTGGGCGTCGTCATGACTGTGGGCGCCGTCAACAGGCTCTTCAATTGTTCGAATGCTTCATCACACTCCTCAGGCCATTTGAAACGCGATGCCTTCCTCAGCATGCGGAAGAAGAGCGCGCCCTTGCCTGCCTAGCGAGGGATAAAGCGGCCCAACGCCGCCATAAGCTCGTTTAGGCTTTGCACCTCGTTGTGTGTCCTTGAAAGCTTGAGACGCCTTATCGCCTCCATATTTTTTGGGTTAGCCTCGATGCCCCTATTCGTTATCATAAAGCCAAAGAATTTTCCCGCCTCTGCGCCAAAGACGCATTTGAAAGGATTGAGGCGCAGGGAATGAGCACGCATTATTTCGAATGTTTCCCGCAAATCCTTCAGGTGAACACATTTTTTCCTACTCTTGACCACCAAGTCGTCCACATACGCTTCGACGTTCCGCCCAATTTGCCTGAGAAACACGGTGTTGACCATGCGTTGGTATGTGGCGCCCGCGTTCTTTAACCCAAACGACATTACCTTGTAGCGGTAGTTGCCAAAAGGTGTCATGAACGTTGTTTTCTCCCTGACCACCTCGCACATCGGGATCTGAAGATACCCTAAAAACATGTCCAGGAAGTTGATCGCCTCATGATAGGCGGTCGCGCCCACCAGCTATATTACATCAACTTATATGTAGCCCACCAGCTATACCCCATCAACTTATATGAGCGACTCATGATAGGCGGTCGCGCCCACCAGCTATACCCTAAAAACATGTCCAGGAAGCAACTTATATTACATCAAAATGTTTTCAGTTCAGGTTTTATCTATTGGCTACACTATCTAGCCTGAGGGCATGCTAATGTAGAAGCAACAAAGCTTTCTAATCTTACTGGTTCTGAAGACCCAACTTGTGCTAACGGTGCTCCATAGTATGTATTTGAAATCTTTTGTTCGAGACAGAAAAAACCAGAAGAACGGGAAAAGAAAACCTAACCTTCAATACCACGAGCATACAATTGCAGGAACACTTTGGCTTAGAGGTAAATCCTTATGGCCAAACTGCAACATGATGCCACATATAGTCTTCTCGTCTTTGATGCGGTAGATTATGCATTTTCACGTTATCTGATTGCCCGTCTTCCCAAATAATAAGATTTTCAAAGTGAATGAGGTGCTACCGCGCCCGGTATATTATATGTACGCCATTAAGGATGACAACTAATGTTACAGCAGCCACTGATATCCTGTTGATATGTTCACGAAGCCAGTTCCACATGGCAAGTTCCAACACTGCTTGGACTTGCTGAATGTCTTGAGTGGGTGACTCCGCCCTACGGGGCATTGATGGCGGGAGAGAGAGAGAAGGAATATAGTACATCAGAGATTTCAGAGGAAGAGGATTCAAGTCAAGGTGGAGATTTGTTTATGTGACTTGAATTAGACTATTAGCTGCTACGACTGGAATAGTCGGGGGTCTCGCTGTTATTTGGGTTCAAGTTCTGGGCCTGGTCTGTAACCGTTTCCTTTGCCAGATTGGATTAAGTTTAGACCCACATGGAGAAGTACTATAAATACTTCTCATACTCCTCTGTATTCTCCTTGATATAGTGAAACTGGCTCTCTCTCGCCCGTGGACTAGCTAACACACATCGTGTTAGTGAACCACGTAAATCATGTGTCGTGTTTTTCGATTCTCGCTTTCGTATTCTTGCTTTATCGATTCCGATTCCTGATCCGTAGCCGCGCATTTATAACAGAAACAATTGGCTAAGCAGCTACACATTCCATCTTCTTTCCCATGCCACATTAACTAGAATATCAAAATAATTTTTCCTAAGGAAAAAAATAGTAGTCTCTCACACATAAAACAATATCCATTGGTTGTCCCATGAAGAGAATGAAGAGAAGCCATAGTTGAAAGATTAGGAATTGTCAACTACTTTTCCAATTCATTGTACCTCAATTAACCCATTGACGCATGGGCACGTCATGTCGCAGGCCCACCTTAGATTTCAGCCAATCTAAAAACGACTTCTCGCCTCATTCCCCTTCCCCAAAAATTTAGAGAAACAACAAATAAAAAATAAACAAAAGTAGCCAAAAATAAGAAAAGCAACAAATAAAATGAAACAAGAAAGCCAAAAACAAACACCATTTCTTCCTTTCCATCTGCTTCCATAAGATCCGATCGATCCTATAGCCATTTTCCCTTTCTTCTCTCTTCTCTTCCGGTTTCTGCTTTTGTTTCCATCTCCTTCTCACGCTTCAATACATATATTGGCGGCGGTTGGTGGTGGATGGCAAGAACCAATAAGTATGCCTCTATTAACTTCAATCATGTTTATGAGAAGAATCTGACCAACGGCGGCGCTGCCAACGGCAACGGCAAACACCCATCGTCGGCCCCATCTCTCTACTCCACGATCGCTTCTCCCAATAGCTTCAACAACCCGAACAATCTTTACAAGAATCATCTCCCTTCCGCCCGCTCCCATGGCCGAATGCTTGTTCTGACCCGACCCACTACCAAACCCGTCTCCGCCCCGATCAGCTCCTCGCCGACTTCGCCTTCCCCACTTGTTTCCCCTTCGAAACAGCTGCCGATCCCGGCGCCGGCGCCGTCTAAGGTAGCTTCCGTTCAGGAGTCACTTCCGGCCGAGCCGAATTCGGATCAGATTTCTCTTCGTCCTTTGGGGCGGACCGGAGGCGGTTCTTTGGTCTCTTCTCCAGCGATTCTCGGAACCCCATCTCCGATTGTCGGTCAAGAGAAGGAAAGGGAGATCGGAAGCGGAATAGCCCTCGGATCGCCCAAGCCGAACAAATTTGTGCCCCCGCATCTTAGACCTGGTTTCGTCGCTAGACAAGAAAAACCCGGACCCGAGGCGCTTCCCGGGAAGGAAACGGGTCACAGGCAGTATCAGAATCCGCAACAGGGCCATGTCGGTTCTACGGACAGATGTGGAAATGATGGGAGGCCAACGTCTGGCGGTGGTGGGTATGATAGGACGAGGAGATTTGTAGGCGGCGATGCGGAGCCCGGCTTATTGAATCGACCTCGATCCGGTGGGAGCCGACCCAGTTCTAGTGGATGGTATTGTTCTCTCCTATTTGATCTGATCTCTGCCGCTTGAATTTTGGTTTCCTCTTCTCTGAAGCCTTCCTTTCTATTCTTAGAACTTCTAAATGTTTGGCAGTTAGCTCATTGTTGCTCTATCTCAGAGCCAAAAATTGTCCTTTGAGTATGCAGCTCTTTCCCAAACATAAAAGCTCTCCATGGTTACCCTGTTAGTTCCTTTCTGCTCTTTGAAGTACTAAACTTATGGGTAAGTCAAACCATGCATAGAATGTAAGCTGGTAGAGTTGAGTAATCTGCACCACAATGGGTAATGCTTCTTCCCGAATTAGTTGGGCGTGAGGTAGGTTTAGTGATCAGATTGATAGCCAAAACGGTTCCCACTTGGGCAATTTGCTTGTTGATCTAGGAATCCTACATCGAGTTTGATCTACTTTCTTGGTTTGCTTGCTGGTTATGCTAATCAATCCTTGTATTCTTGTTGTCATTTGGCTTTTTTCCTATATATGGTCCTTGGATGTTTTGGATTAGGTAATAGCTCTGTATTAGGAGAAGTAATAAATGCAGAACAATGCCAAAATCAACTTAAGATAGGCTGGATCTAATTGGTGGTGCATTATAGGCTGAGATTTATGCATTACCGTTAGCATGCTAAGCAATTGAACAACATTTTGGTGTGTTGCAGATGCTGAGTGCGAAGTTGCGTTCTTTCTGAGGTACAAGCTTCTTTCTGGCTACTTCGGTGGAGGATTTCATACGGAGCCCTGATACTTTGGCTTGCTTCATCAATTCATAAACAGACGACTGCTATTAGAACTGCGAGGAAGATAGGATTCAACCTGATGCCTTCTGGATTTCTTGAATCCCCTGGAAACTAGATCGAGTGATAGGAAAACGAAGTCCAAGGGATCTATAGGGGGGCTCAATCATCCTTCTTGCTTTGGTAATTTGATCTTTTACCCACACTCTGTCCAAAACCAACTTTGGGTTCCTTTGGAGTGTTGGAAATTCTATTTCTCGGTGTGTTTTCTTTCTTTTCTTGTTCTGTTCCAAGTCAATTGCTTAACATCGCAAGATACTTTGGAGTGGTGGTAAAGCTATCTTCTGTTCATGCCGCCCACTCTGTTACTCTTCTACTCGTGGATTCAATGTACAAGTTCTTCGCATATGCTTGTTTTAGTTAGGAGATTCTGTGAAATGGAGGGTTGTGTAATGAGCAGGAAGGAACAGCAGGAAATCGTGCCTAGTTCACAAATTCATTTCAACCCAGGTTGTGAAATGTGGTTTCTTCTATCTCTGTCCCTGAATGTGATTGTGTTTCGGTTGAATTGGGAAGATGGGATTGTCCATTCGTGTTGTATGCTATCGAATAACTTTTAGTGGCAAGGGAACAAAATATAAAACATTGTGGTTGGCAAATGAGTAGTTGGTATTTTTCATCATGATTAGCAAGCTTAAGTCTACCGTATGTATTTTTTATGGTGTTTGATATTTCAATTTTCATAGTAGAGTTTCATGTAATTTTATCAATTTTAAAATTTCTGCTCTCTCCTTAATTTTTTAACATACTGTTTGGTACCAAATGAATCAAGAATTCATTTCAATATAAAACGAATTACCGTATAGAATTCATTGTCAAATGAATCTTATGTTTGTTATGTCATATTCAAATCTTTAAAAATATAATGAATTGTCGTGTAGATCATTGTCAAATGAATTCTTGTGTTTGGTATGTCATATATATATAAGTAATTTAGTGAATAAAGAGGATAATTATATTATTCTATTATAATTAGTAAATAGTTGTGGAATTCATTTGGAGATTCCATCTCAATTCCTCGGAATTGCTATAACTAGTACCAATTCCATAGAATTCAAAATTTAGAATTGAAATTGAATTCTTTTAAATACCAAACACAAAAATATTTCATTTCAAAATGTATTTCGCAAAACTTATGAAATTTATTTATACCAAACGTTATGTAAATGTAAATTGGTAATTGGCTAAAATGGAAGAAACTATCCTCCAATAATATATAGTAGAGTTATGTTTACTTTTCTCTATTTCAAATTTCCTACAACGAGAGTGAAAGTAGGAAGGATAATTTTGTCTTTACAATTAATTATTTATTTCATATAAAAATGTCAATATCAAGATTTGAATCCAAGTCTCTTCAAACAGAGACAACAATCACAACCAATTACACCGAACAAATTTGTTATATCCTTTTTAATACAAAAACATACACGAAGTCAAACTCTGAAAATCAGAGGACTTTCCCATCATGATTAACAAGCCCACTAAGTCTACCGTATGTATTTTTTATGGTGCTTGATACTTCAATTATCATAGTAAAGTTTCATGTAATTTTATCAATTTTAAAATTCCCGCTCCCTCCTTAATTTTCTAAAGGTAGATTTGTAATTGGCTAATATGGAAGAAACAATCCAATAATATATGGTAGAGTGAAAGTAGGAAGGGCATTTTTGTCTTCACAATTAATTATTTATCTCCTATAAAAATATTAATAACAGGATTTGAACCTGGGTCTCTGCATACAGAGACAACAATCACAACCAATTACACCGGACAAATTTGTTATATCATTTTTAATAGAAAACATACACGAAGTTAAACTCTGAAAACAGAGGACTTTTACATCATGATTAGCAAGCCCACCAAGTCTACCGTATGTATTTTTTATGGTGCTTGATACTTCAATTTTCATAGCAGGGTTTCATGTAATTTTATCAATTTTAGAATTCCCACTCTCTCCTTAATTTTCTAAAGGTAAATTGGTAATTGGCTAAACATGGAAGAACCTAATTATGTTATTACATGTTGTGTCCTTGCATTTTTCAATTTAAATTTTGCATTTTTTATCTTTGTTCTTATCTCTTTATAACTTCCTCCAAAATTCTCTCCATTGTGCAATAGTTTGCCCCCTTTCACTTCCTAGTACAAGTCCCCCTTTGAAAATCATTCTTTCGGTATCTCTTGGCACTATGATTTTATTGTTGGGGATTTAACCCAGGCAAATAGAAGATTTCAACTCTGATATCAATCCATGGCGAATAAAATGGAGTTCAATAAATGGAGTTGCTGAAAGAGGATAAGAAATTGAAGTTTTGGTTGAAACATATGCCTCTTGAGATAAAAATTTGGTTGTATAATAGAGAGTGGTGGTTATTGGATGTTTAGGTTTATGGTTTTTGCAGCTATCGCAACCTATTTCTATTCTAAAACGAGGAATCATGGATTGATTTAATGAAATAGGTCGATTCTTTATTCAACTTACGAGAACTTATAGATAAGGAATGTCTAATTTTGTACATTGTTACTTTGATCGAGTCTATTAGTATATTGGAGGTAACCCTAATTTTTTTGTTTGCTGTAAATTTTTATTGTCCCCTCTTGATTGAGTTGTTAGTATATAGTTTACTTGGATCAACAATTCTCCATTTCTTTTTGATTAGTGGCATATTGTTCCTAAAAAGATAGCATTGAACCTTTTATGTAGTATTATAAGTTTTAAAATTTAGTTTCAAATTATTTATGGGTCACGGGGAATTCCAACTAAACAATAAATTTTAATGAGGCTTAATTATCCTTATGAAAATGGAATCAATGATAAATTTTTATATTTTATATTCTTAAATGGTTTGACCTATGTATTTTTTCTTTATGTATCATCTTCATCAAAGTATTGTCAATAAAATTAAATGGGTTGACAGACTTAAACATAACATAAAATATAAATAATCAAATATGAACATTCCGACCAACGGGTCGGGTTATAAGCTAGTAAATAAAAGAAAAATAGGGTAACTTAGACCCCCATTTCAAATTTTCAGCATCTAAAGTGAAAGTAGGAAGAGTAGCTTCTTCTTCACATTCATTTATTGTTTTTAATCATTTTTTTATTTACATGAAAAATGCATAAGGAATGAGTTTCGAACCATGGTCTCTTCAAACAAAAACAAGAAATATAATCAATTACACTAAACAAATTTGTTTAATCTTTTTAAATTAAAAACATACAAGAAGTTTAAATATGAAAAATCACAGGACTTTTCCACCATGGTTTACTAATCCACTAACTCTCTTGTAAATATTGTCTTGGTATTTGATACCTCTATTTTCATATTTTGATTATTTTAATTTGAGTTTAATAATTTATTCTATTTCTGTTTATCTTATAAAAGGAGAATAATTTTAAAATCGCAACCCTTATGTCATTGGTGCAAATATTGCATATCCAATGGAAGTATTGAATGTGTACAAGCGATGCATATGTCTTAACATAGACTCAAATTTTATAACTATCATAAACAACATTTTTTTAACACAGAAGTTTTGAGTGAATATGAGACACATTCTTTAAGAGAGCGGTAAATATGGAAAAGTTTTGTAATGCTGGTTTGTCAAAGGCGGATGTAAAAGACGCAATTAATGTAAACATATCTAAATAGTGTCTCGACCCACTAAACACTCAACCATCAACGTCTCTCCAAACCTTCCCATCAGACTAGATAACCGCCTAACCTCCTCCACCTATATTGTTAGGCCAAAGCAATTTTCGGAGGGGTAAATATGAAAGGTTGAGTGTTCTGCTTGGAGAGATGATTGGTGGGTTATTTAGTTTATTTGACAGTAATGTGTAATCTCTTAACCATCAGTTCCTTTGATTGATCTTCTAGGTTGACTTTTGAGTTGATTAAAGATTCATAGCTATATTTTTTGTTGCTTTTGTTATGATACCCCTTTTCAATATCATCGTTTCCCTAATTTGAATGTTTTTATTGTTAGTTTCCAGTAACAAAGATTATTCTGCTTAGTGTTAACATAGGGAATAGCTTCAATCATATACCACTTTTACACAGATTTTATATGTAAGAGCTGAGATAGTTGCCAAATTGAACTATTCAAGCTATAATGCTGATCTTCAACATTAGAACATGGTTTCTTTTGAATGAAATAACGTAAGCTATAAATGAGACTAACCTGAGATTCCTCTTTACTTTTGATGGTAAGAGAGCAATGACCCACGTAAAATTGATTGGGGGTTGATGAGGCCTGAGAAACGGTCTAGGCTTCTTCAGTGCAGCACAAGATTTTGATAGTATCTCGACCAAATCAATTTTTATTTTCTTGCTGTTGTTGATTCAAGATGTTTACCTAAAGGAGAGCCCCAACAAGTTAGCTCTTGGAGTTGCAATGCAAAAATTGGTAAGGTAGAAACGGTGTATACAAAAGACCATACTATGATCATATAGAACGTGTTGGTAGAGATAGCCGCCAATCTCATTTTATTGATGAAGCCACCGAGGAGAAAAGAGAATCGACATTAGTAGTCTAAATTTTACTAGGCTATTATACTGATCATTTATTTCATTTCATGTAAATTTTTATTATGACTTAAGTGATATTACCTCAAGCCATTAGTTGAAACAATGAATGGTTGTTTGGATTAATGTGCACTGATGCAAAATGCCATATAGCTGCCACGAAGATGAAGTAAGGGTTGACCAATTAATGTGTTCGCTTTTTTGAGAAGGATAAAAATCGTGATAAATGGAGAGGTTACATAACGATTGACTTATATATATTGAAGAGATAGAAAGTATAGAGATGTAAGTCATTTGTGTGTTTAGTGTAGCGGAGTGATTAGGAGTGATTTGGCAGGATTTCATAGTGGTGGGGGTATCGACAAAAGTTGTTATATGTTGGTGTTTCCAAGCATATGTTGCTTGCCTGTTTCTTTTGTTTGCATCTGAGTTTTCTACAACAGATTCAATGCTTGTATATAATTTATTTTTGTCATTTTAAATAACCAAACTATTTGTCAGGAAAAACTAGCCGACGCATTATATCGACTTAATTTGGACATTGCTGGTTTTGGTGTTCTCAGCCAGGGATTCATTTCCTTCTGTGTCAGTATGGTTTTTGGTCTAAGGGCAATTCATATTGAATTTTCTTTATTAAATCTCTTGGTGGCTTCCATTTCCCCCATCGGGTATTGGTGCTAGGTAAGCATTCCTTTGATTTTTTCATGTTCACTCTAGGGGCATCAAGGTGCTTGGCAATAGTGGCTAGATTTAGGGCTAATCACTTGGTTTAGATTGTCCATTATAGTGTTTATGTTTTACTATTTCTTTTGTAATGCAATGGAATAATGACTTTTCATATCATATTATTATAGTGTTGTTGACCTACCTCCGGCCATTGCCATAGACATGATAATGGATAATATAAGTCAGAATCAGAGTACCAATTTCCGAAACTACGTTCGGCCGACGAGCTGGAAAATAAGCACATATATTTAAAGCTACAAGGAAAAACTTGACCACCCATTTCTGATTGTATGCAACGAGAGCAAAAGTAGGAATGGCATTTATGGCTTCACAATTACTTATCTTATTATTTATGTATAGAAAAAGAAAGAGACATATTGGGATTTGAACCATGGTCATTTCAAACAAAGTCTAGGTGCCCATGTAGATTTGTTG